GGTCGGGGTTGTGATCATCATCAACAGTGGCAGCCTGAGTCACCACAACGACCACCACAACGACCACAAGTGTGTCCACTCAACAGACAGCGGAGAGACGCGTGGTTCGGTTCTTCAAAAAGGCTAGATCCGAACAATCCCCCTNTGAACAATCCCATTTACTCGTCATCGTTTTCTTCGTTTATCATCATCAACAGCATCATCAGCAATAGCATCAACATCATCGGCAACACCAACTGAAGCCAACTAAAGCTTGCTCACCATGCTCGACATATTCGGCAATCTACTGGGGAAGAGCTCCAAGAAGAACTCCAGTCAGCAGCAGGCGAATGGAGGCAGCGGTCAGACGGACAACGACAACAACTCCGATAGCTATGTGTTCGTAAGCAACAACAACAGTGCCGTCTATTCTCAGACCACCATTCTCACCGACGAGGTAATAATATCAGTACTGCTCTAGCTCTGCTGACGCTTGTTGCCACCAGTTATCTGTTGTCAATCTCTCCCTTTTCCTCTATGAGTGTAGCTCTGGCTGGCTCTTTGCTGTTGTGTCTTTTGGTTGCGTAGTTCACTGTGCAGCTCCAGTGTTTAGTGTTAGTGTCGGATCGGACGCCTAATTACAGCAGCAGAAGCGATCATCGCTTTCAAATCGACTCAGTACAGCTATCTATTAATACCTGCTATAGAGAATCTTCTCTCTGACTGTCTGTCTGTTTGTACCAGCAGCAGTCGCTAATTGACCTTTTGCGTGCCACCACCACCAGCACCAGCACTTATTGACGCCGTCAATCCAGTTGCTCCAGTAACGCCACTAACACTCTCATACACTTTCAACAATGCCCAGAAAAGTAGTCAGTAGTTTTTTCCTGGCCTGAACTTGATTTGCTGCTTTCAATTTAATGACTTCCCAGTACTCATAAATGTTTCTTCTTCTCCCCCTCATAGATGATCCGACAAATGGGCTCCTCGTCTTCAGTGGCCACCTCCTCCAGCATGTCCTCCCAGGGACAGCAACCACAACAACAAGGTCCCTCCAGTATGGTGTACCCCAGCCTGGACGTGACCAATGGCTACAACCCGAACTTGCCTTTCTCCTCCGTTCCGATGCCTTCGCACCTGAACCATCCTCAACAGCGTCACAGTCTCGCCACTCCGTACACCTCGAACCACGCCAGGACCGCCTCGCCCATTGACAATGTCCCCTTTGTCCTTACCAACTACAGCTCGGCCAATGGCAATGGTGGCTCAGCAGGCGGCGGCTACGACGAGGACGCCGAGCTGGGCGAGACCATCAGCCGAGTGCAGCAGTTTCTCGCCAATCCCAACATTTCAGAGTACAACTTTAAGCTGGAGAATGGCCTCCTCACGGCCACGTACTAGCCTGACTGAAATTGTGGAATGAGTGTGCCGTTTTTACCAGTTTTACGATTTTATTTATTGTCTTGTGCTTTACGTGCCAACGCTTTCTCTCTGTCTGTTGTTGCCCAGCGGTGGATCGGTAAGACCGTTTGAATCTGATTTTGGATTCTTCCCATTCTCCAGCGATCTGAACGACAACTCGCAATTATTTCTGCATCACAACACTTTTCCCCATTTTATTTTCACAATTCATAACAACTCCCCTGCATGAACCTCTTCCTTTTCCTTCCTCTGTTTCTCTCTCGCACTCTCTTTCATCTCTTTCATGTGATAAACATTCTCTCTTCCTGTTGCTCTCTTCAACCCACACACACAGACTGGAATGATGATGATGATGATGATGATAAACTATTATTAGCCCTACTTCTTGTTTTGGGAGCTGATGATGCTGGATGATGATGATGATGAAAAACGATCAGTAGTAGCCATGTACAACAAGACCACTGTTATGATTTCTTGCACTAAAACACACACACACAGGACATCCGGTGTTTCCAGGGCTCACTCTAATTTCTATTTGTTGTGTCTGTCAGACATTCTCCCCAAAGACTGACAATGTCCATTACCACCATCATCATCATCACCACAAACACCACTTTTATTTTGTGCACTAGTTTCATATTCTTCTTTTATGCTTTTTCACCCCATACTTTCCCTTGTTAATTACCTGTCTTCTTTCCTCCCTCATAGTAGTATCTTTAATTTCCGAAATATTATTTAGTTTTCAACGATTTTATTTTGTCTCTCTCGATCTTATACCTGTACCTACTTTTTCTAATTGTATAATTTTCCTATATTTTGATCACAATAACAACCACAACAACCGAATATCTAATTGAAATCTTCTTGTTGATCTAATAATTTTAATTGAACCGATTGCACTTGCACGATTCATTAGCTGGGGGAAATTGCTATGATAATGATAATGATGAAGCGATTGAGCAATTAGGAGCTGACAAAAAAAATTAGGTTTCTAGATCTTTTGGAAAACAAGAAGAAATCAATTACTTTATTTCAGTGTCGATTTCCCAACTTGCAAAGTGGTACCACACAGTTTGCTCTTTCTATTGCGAGACAATTCCAATCTGCCGATCAAGATCTTTGGAAATATGGTTCGTATTCTTACCTGAAAAAAGTTTAAACCAATTTTCTAACTCCATCTTTTCTACCAGTTTGGTCTCATTCACGATGCTCTGGAGGACTTTGTAATCAAGCTCTTTGGCGACGAGCGATGGCTGGAGATTTTGTAAGTGATAGAGATTGAAAAATGAATTACTTATTCTAACACTTTTTGGCTTTCAACTAGAACCAAATCTCAAATAAACCTAAAGGGGGCGTCTTTCCTCATGTACAAAGAGTACGATGACCGCGTCACCTGGAAACTGATCGCCACCACCAGCAAGGTTCTAAGTAAGAGCATTTTTGAGCGCTCATCAATTAAATGACCATCACAATTTAAACACCCGATTTTCAGTGCTGGACATTGAGACGGTCCTGGAGGCGTTGGGCAATCACTTCATCAAGTACGTCTGCTTTCACGGCTACGAAAAGATCCTCCGAAGTATTGGTGAAAATCTGCACGACTTTCTCGCCAATATTGACTATCGNACGATGACCGCGTCACCTGGAAACTGATCGCCACCACCAGCAAGGTTCTAAGTAAGAGCATTTTTGAGCGCTCATCAATTAAATGACCATCACAATTTAAACACCCGATTTTCAGTGCTGGACATTGAGACGGTCCTGGAGGCGTTGGGCAATCACTTCATCAAGTACGTCTGCTTCCACGGCTACGAGAAGATCCTTCGAAGTATTGGTGAAAATCTGCACGACTTTCTCGCCAATATTGACTATCGTAAGTGTGGGGAACTGTTTTTAGAATCTAACAAAATAATTACCATCTTCACCACTAGTCCACGAACACCTGACCAATGTCTTTGTGGGCCTTCGAGCGCCTAGCTTTCGCGTCACCCACAGCACCGAGGGCACCATGCAGCTGCACTACCACAGTGAACGAAAAGGTTAGTGTTTTATTTTAGAAATGGTTTAAAAAGCTCACAAACAAAATTTTTGTTCAGGACTGGCGCCCTTCGTGCGCGGCCTGGTCACCACCGCCAGCATCGACTTCTTCCGCACCGAGGTGATCGTCAACCAGCTGTCCGCCAGCGAGGACGGCCACATCGTCTTTGAGGTGATCAACAAGTCCATCGACCCCAACTCGGACGCCTTCGAGAAGGTGAAGACGCCCTTCACCGACAGCAGCCTCTCCACCTCGCCAGGGAACCTGCTCTTCAGCGTGGAAACCCTCTGCGAGGCCTTTCCCTTTCACTTTGTCTTCAAGCGCAACTTTCGCATCATCGAGATGGGCAACTCGCTGAAGCGGTACGTTCGCGTGGAGAACAGCCTGCTGAACAAGGCCAATCAGAAGATCATGTTCAGCGACCTCTTCATCATCACCCGGCCGATCATCGAGCTGAACTTTGAGTCCATTCTCACCTTCTCCAATCACCTCTTTATGCTCAGCTGTCGGGAGGAGTACGTCCGCGTGGAGAAGGGAGGCCGCAAGGGAAGCGAGGCGGCGGCGATGGATGCGAATGCCCGCGCGGCGGCTCGCATTTACACGCTCAGTCCGGAGAGGACTGCTCGCCGCAATCCGAGACTTCTTCTGAAAGGGCAGATGATCTCTCTGCCCGCCTTTGATGCCATCTTCTTCATGGGCGCGCCGAAGATTGAGGACATTGAGGAGATGATTCTGCTTGATCTGACCATCAGCGACTTTCCGGTGCATGACAGCACCGGCCGGCACATAATGACGCGAGCGATTAGATCCGATGATCAGGAGGTGATCAATAAGATTGACAAGGCGGCCAATCATCTGAAAATTGTGGAGAAGAAGTTGCGGTAAGTTTAGGTGGTGTTTTTAGAAGTTTAAGTTTTTGGTTATTTTGAATCTTGATTTGACAGAGGAGAGATCTCCAAGAATCACAAAATTCTACATGAGATCTTCCCCGCAAAGATTGCCCGCATTCTCTGTCAGAGCATCAAGGTCGATGCGGAGCACTTTGAGGCGGTCACCTGTCTGTACTCGGGTAAATACTAGAAACGGAAGTTTTCTGTAATATTTAATTGTGAAAATGTTTTTTAGATATCGTCAACTTTACCGCCATGTGCTCCTCTCCGGTGATGAAGGCCATTGACATTATTCGACTGTTGAATCGGTAAATATTGAAATTTTGTTTTTCAGTGTTTTTAAAACGGAATTTCCTTTTCCTTTTCAGACTGTACATTCAATTTGACAACCAGACCAACTACTATGGCACTTTCAAGGTGGAAACGGTGGGCGACGCCTACATTGTCATTTCGGGCGTGCCGGAGCCGGCGGACGACCACGCCGACCGCATCGTGGAGATGGGCCTGGCGATGGTGCACGTCACGCGGACCATCTACTCACCCTCCGATGGAAAGCACATTGAGGTAAAGGAGGAGGAGTTTTTTGAAAAGATGATAAATTATCTCCTTTTTCCCCTATCTCCACCAGATGCGAATCGGCATCCACTCTGGCCCCTGTATGGCCGGCGTCGTCGGCCTGTCGATGCCTCGCTACGCCGTCTTTGGCAACACCATCTCACTCGCCAATAAGATGGAGTTTGCCGGCCCACAGGGCATGGTGCACATCAGCGAGGCGACGAAGAAGTAAGAGTTCGAGGAAGGTTCGAAAAATGTCCCGCTAATTTTACCTTCCCTTAATATCACCTAGGTTCCTCAAGAAGGACAAGTACTACTTTGTGGAGGCGAACGTGAAGCACCTCTTCAACTTTCCGACGTACATCGTCACGAAGCTGTACGAGGAGTACCACGAGGACCACCTGGTGATTGAGAACAACCTGAACATGGCCGGTGGCCTCTTCAAGTCGCCCACCAGTTCGCCGGTGAATGATCCGAAGATGCGGCTGCTCGACCGAAACGCCGCTCTCAACGGTGGCGGCGGTGGGCTGATCAACCCGGGAGCTCGAGGTAATGGATTCGGCTTGGGCGGCGGCCCTGGACAGCCACCGCAGTTTATGCAGCCGTACTCGAAGATGGCCATGGGCGCAATGGCCGGCGGCGGCAGACCTCGAAACGGCATCAACGACCTGGCAGTGCCCGCCATCAAGATCAGCGACATTNACGAGGAGTACCACGAGGACCACCTGGTGATTGAGAACAACCTGAACATGGCCGGTGGCCTCTTCAAGTCGCCCACCAGTTCGCCGGTGAATGATCCGAAGATGCGGCTGCTCGACCGAAACGCCGCTCTCAACGGTGGCGGCGGTGGGCTGATCAACCCGGGAGCTCGAGGTAATGGATTCGGCTTGGGCGGCGGCCCTGGACAGCCACCGCAGTTTATGCAGCCGTACTCGAAGATGGCCATGGGCGCAATGGCCGGCGGCGGCAGACCTCGAAACGGCATCAACGACCTGGCAGTGCCCGCCATCAAGATCAGCGACATTGACAATCCGAAGAACAGTGGCGGCGGAGGAGGAGTTGGAGGAGGAGGAGGTCGGATGAGGAACACACGAGACACTAATTTGCTGCGTTGAACACTGCTTTTCCCCCTTAGAAATCTTTTAGAACTAGATTTGAAGATTAACTCTTGTTTTGCAAGATGCTGAATATAACAGAATAGTGTAATGATGACAATAATCAGAAACAGAAATCTGAATCTGGTGAATGTGTGTGTAAGGGAGTCTGAATCAATCAACGACGAGATCACAATGAGTTGGTGGTAAGAATTATAAAGTTGAAAGAAGAAGTATCAAAGGGATGCCGAGATGAATTATCGTAATAGTAATAATAATCGCAGCTGGATAAAGTCAAATTTGAAAATGAACAGGGAAGAGGGGAGAAGAAATGGTGAGAATAAGCTGTTCTCCCTGGAATTAGAAAGGGGACTTGAGCTGCACAAAAGAGTAGGGATGAAGAATGAAGAAGGGAATAACTCGGCCCAGAATGAAAAATGAATATGAACGGGGAAAGAAGAATTAAACGGTGCTGAAGAATAGTACTCCCCTTAAGAGGTAGTGGGTTAGTTGTTGTAGTTGAACTTGACGTTGAGCAGGTAGCGCAGCTTAATCTGCTCCTCACTGTAGACGATGTACTCGTTGTAGAGGAGGGAGGAGGGCTTGTCGCTGAGGGCGCGCACCATCTTCCCCATGGGCACCTTCACGCCGTCCTCCATGACGTGCATCGCCGAAGGGTCGGGCTGCGTCTCGCCGATGCCCTTCACGCTGCTGTACTTCTTCGGCAGGCTGGTGACAAACTTCGAGTCGCGCAGCTCCTGGCTAAAAGTCGTAGAAGGAGAAAGAGAGTTAACAAAACGCCAACTTCCAAGCTATCACTTACCTCTTTCCAATGGCCACCTCGCTGAGCAGCATCAGCCCCTCGTTGTTGTGCGGCGAGGTGACGCAGTAGTTGGCGCTCTTCGAGACGGAGTCGGCAAAGTAGACGCCCTTGCCGAACATGTAGCCGCAGACGGGCGCCTCCGGCGGGGCAATGCGCAGGCCCTGGCTGAGGATGCCCGGAAAGTTGGTCAGTCGGGAGCCGTGCCAGAGGAGCATGCGGTTCTCGTTGGCGCGGTGGGGCGCGAAACGCTCCGCCTCGCCCGCGCGCTCCACCTTGAAGACGTGCACAATCTCGAGGGAGTAGCCGCTGTGCGTGGCGGCGTGCGTGTTGCGCAGGTACGTCTGAATGAGCTCAAACTCCTTGCTGGTCGGATCCAGTGGCTCAATCGCCGTGTTCAGCTTCTGGTAGTGGGCGTCAATGGGGTCGACCGGCTCGGCGCTGCCGCCCTCTCCGCCCTCCTGCTTCATGATGTCGTAGGCGAGCTCAATGTCCATCAGCGACTCGAGCATCTGCATCTTGGCGGCAATCTGCGCCGCCGACTTGATCAGCGGCGGACACTGGGCGCCAAAGTTGTGCGGCACCAGCGAGTAGAACTTGTTGGTCGCCGCCTGCATCTTGTTCAGGCTGAGCGGCTGCTGGGCGGCAGTAGACTTGGAAGAGCCAGCAGAGCCAGAGCCAGAAGCTCCTTCAATGAGGCCGGCAATCTCCTTCAGCGTGGAGCAGGCCTCCAGCAGCTGCGCCTTGGACAGCTTTCCAAGCGGCATCTTGTCGAGATCGAGCTCAAACTCGAGCATGGTCTGAAAAGAAAATGTTCGTTTTAGAGATTTTTTTGCCAATCACACACACTCTCTCTCCCGTCCCATCTCTTACCTGCTTCATTCGGGCCACGTCAAAGATGAGCGAGATGAGGTACTTGACGGGGTCGGGCAGCGTCGACTTGGACTCGGCCACGTCGAGCTTCGTGTCCAGCTCGCCGTAGTCGACGTCCACGGGAAA